AGCTGATGGGATCATCAAATCCATTATGATGCTGAGAGCACTGTTCCCTAATTGTGTGGCCAAATGGAGGATATGTTTGTGTTTCAAACCAACAGTCACCTCCCCAGCTGCTGTAACTTTGGGCAGAACTGTACATCCTGACCCGGGCAGAGGAGCAGGGTAAGAGAAGGACACAGACATTAGAGACAGAACCCAAGTTCCTGGTCCTGAGGGTCCTGCCCAGCACAGTCCTTGCCCCAAAGGCTGCCAGTCATGAGTGGGTTTTCCGTGAGTGCTCGAGAGAGAATGTCCTTGTAACGCTGGGCCCTGCTGCCTGGCAGCCTCCCTCGCATTCTGCCACTTCCTGGGCTGGCCAGGGGTGTTTTTGTGCAGGAGGCGGCTGAGCAGGCAGGGCTGTGATAAGCTGCTGGCACAGAGGTACAGGGCAGAGTGGGCCACTTCCACGGAGCTCACGCTCAGCTCAGAGCTGGAGTTCTTCGTGAACTGTTGGACTGAGAAGCGCTCAGGGATGTCTCCTTTGAAATTCTTTTCTCCATTTAAATAACTGGCAAGGAACTGGGGTCCCTTGCCCACAGCCTGTTGGTACCAGTACACAGACTGATGCCCGGATTCATAGGAGCATCTCAGGGTCACTGGCTGACTCTTTGCTTTGACCAGGTGTCTGGGACTTTGAGTGACCTCAGCATCCGCAGAGCCTGTTGGGGAGCAGAGACAAAGGGCTGAGGCAGACACAGGGGCGCCTCTTGCTGCAGCCCTCATGGTGGGCAGGGGGTTCCCAGACCTGGCAAAGCACAGACCAGGTCCTCCCTGTGCCCAGGACTCACCTGCTCCCAGGAGCCCAAGGGCCACCCAGCAGAGGAGCCTGGATCCCATGGCAGCCTCAGGGCCCAGACAGCTCCTAGGGCAGGGTAGACTTTAAGCTCTGTCCTCCTGGTGCTGATTGGAGCCTCTGCTGTGATGTCACTGTGTGATGTGCCCTGCCTGCAGGCTGTGCCCTGGACTACCTGAAGTTCCTCAGTAAGACTCTGGGTACCATTTCCTCAATTGTATGTTCCCTTAACAAATGATGCACGTGAACCTGGAGGATCCCGTGTGCCCTTCCTTGACCTTGACTCACTCTGGCTGCCCCAGGTCCCTCCCACCTCTTCCAGTGAAGCCTTGGGGAGATGCCTCTTGGGGTCCACTGCGACTCCAAATACCGCTGCACTCCTGTGCAGAGGTGGCTAGAATAGTTTCTGTCTATACCAGCATCACTGTGAAGTCGAACCACCTGCCTCCTCCCCATCAAGATCTTCATTCCCCAGTCAGGTCTCCCTCCAGTAAGGTGTCTTGCAGTTAGTGGGCATACAGCGCCTCCAAGTGGCCAACCTTCCAATGTCCTGGATTTCTATCTTCTCAATGAAGGGCACACATCCTCTCTGTGCCTACTCAGGCAACGGCACATGAGAGAAAGATCTTTTCTCTCACAGCCCCTTTCTACTGCTGTCCCAGATGCTTGATTGTATGTCTAATACACCCTTCACGTCCTGCGTCAGAGACATAGGAAACACCATTCTGATGTCAGGAATTATTGGTTGTACCATTGCAATCCCTATATTAGAGGGAATGAAAGAAGCATCAGGACCCAGGTCAAATAAATAAAATTTGACTATCTCAATGGTGGGTGGGGGGAGGCTGGAGCGATAGATAGAACAGCGGTAGGGCATTTGCCTTACAAGCGGCCAACATGGCCAACCCGAGTTCGATTCCTCCGCCCCTCTCGGAGAGCCCTGCAAGCTACTGAGAGTATCTTGCCCGCTTGGCGGAGTCTGGCAAGCTACCCGTGACGTATTCAATATGCCAAACACAGTAACAAGTCTCATGATGGAGACGTTACTGGGCCTGCTCGAGCAAATCGATAAATATCTCAATGGGCAAGAAATTGTCCACTGTGTATTCACGAGGCGACTAGTGAGCTCCTGAGGCTCTTTCTCTTTCCACCTGCGTTCGGTAGTCTCAAGCCACTTCCCCACCCAGGACGACTGATGTCATGGGCAGATGAAGGAGGAATCAAGGGCCAAGCTGCTTGGTGATCAGTTGCCATTTATTCCATTCTACCAACACGCCTGTTCCAGTCTCACTGAGCCTCTCATTTTAGACTCACACTGGCCCTCATTCCTGTCTCTTCCTGTCTCTTCTGCTCATCTCTGCACTCCTCCCACTCTCAGCCTTGGTCTCTCTCTTGTCTCTCTCCAACTCCCTGCACTGAGGACAGCAGAATCAACATATCAAAGTTCTTCCTGATCACAGATCAGGCTCAAGGGCAGAAATACCATCTACTGGTGTTTCTCCTCTTCTTATTCCAATAACCCAATTAACATAATAATTAACATCTTAATTCTACTTCTTAATATTAGTTATTTTGTATAGACACAGTAAGAGATACATTAAGCTTGTAGGGTGCCTCTTCTGAGACATCTCACTATAGGTCTCAGGCTACAGTGCTCAGGAGAGATTAATCTTTCCCAACACTAACAGGGTCCTAATCCAGCTGTCATTTTTTGGATCATGACAAAATTTGTCCATGACCATGCTCTTAACTTATAGTTAAGTATTATGGCACTTTGACCTGGACAATTTTGAAGCAAGGTAGCTCAGAACTTGCCCTGGGTCCATCCAGTCCCCATTGGGATCCTACATTTGGGGTGCTAGGAAGTAAGGGCATCTGAGGCTTAAGTCAAGAGAACAGATGCCCAGGAGTGAACATCATTCAGAATCAATTGACTCCCAAGTTACAAAAGCATGGCACTGTCTTCCTGTGTCTATACAAAAAGGACATTACTCTGAATTCATTTTGCAAAGAACTTACGGAGAAGAGAAAAGCAGTATTTACAAAGTAACATAGTCTGATAATGAGATAGAGGTGATTGGTTGGGGACGCATAGCACAAAGAAAGAGGTGACAAGTAAACACAGAGGAATGGGAGTGCTGTGATGGGAGTAACCCAATAAACCTAAGCTCCCTGCGTCAAGGCAGAAAGGACAAACCAATGTTATCCTACAGTCCACAAGCACTTTTATGTATGGCCATTTAAAAAGGACACAAAGAAGGACACAGAGGAAAAACATTCCCCAAAGGAAGATGCAGAACTGTCCCCACAAACACTGTCCTTGCACTGGAACCTGCCTGTCAATGAGAAGGTGGTCAAATATGCTCAGGACAGTTCCACGGGACAGAAGGACACACAGCAGAGTCCTGGGTCCCAGCAAGGGCTGGTCAGACACAAGCTCTTCCTCTGTTCCACTCTCTCCTGGGAAAGCCATTCTCTGCCTGTGACTGCATTGGGGAAGCTGGCCACAGGACACGGGGGGACGAGGTCTGGTTTCAAGGTGGGTTCTCACCTGTGGAAACATGTGACAGTAGAGTTAGAGGCACATGAAGCGGGGTTTGGATTTCACCTCTGTGCCCTCAAGGCTATTTAGTTTGTTTATGCTGATCCATAAGGACAAACTCCCCCAGCCTATTTATATATGGATTTGGGGCCACACCCAGCAGTGCTTATGGCTTACTCTTGGCTCTGTGCTCAGAAATCACTCCTGCCAATGCTTAGGGAACCACATATTGTGAGGAGGATCCAAACCCACTGTTCACCTGCAAGGCAAACGCCCTATCCATTGTACCATTGCTTGCAGTCTTCAATTCTTTCCATTAAACATTCAACTAGTCAGCTCATCAATTCTGGGTATTATGTGATAGTTTAGACATTGTTAGGACCCACTTAAGACAGGGAACTACTATGACAGGATTTGTGGCCTTCTGAGTGACTTAGGCCTCTTCCAGGAACAAGAAAAGCAGAAAAACCAGATGCTTTCTTCAAAGATCACATCCCTGGAATGAGATTAGCCCTCCAGAATTTAACTGGCAGGGAATGGGCTGGATGTTGAGGACCAAAACAACAACAACAAAAATATATGTATATTCTATAGGTAATAGAAATCTACTGAGTAATGCTGACTTGCCAAAATGAAAGCACAAAAATTTGCTAAACCTAATTGCTAGGTGTCCTTGTTGAAACCCACTGCGCCAGGTGGATACTTTGACCCCAGCTAACTGGAACAATAAACCTTGTTATGTGATTTGCATTATTGCTCTGTTCTCTGTCCTTGAAGGGTGGTCAACTCCGGACTTTAACAACATAAAAAATATTTATACTTGCCATAACTGTCCATTAAAAATGGGATTTTCCCCCCTAGGGTTTATCTGCACGGAGAAAATTAAGCATGCATGTGCATTAATGTGTCAGCATTATTTCTTTATATTTTACCTACACACTGACAGAACTGACTGAATATTTGGGTGAACAAATAAATTTGAATTTTGAGAAACTGAAAATCTCTAAAGCAAGAAACACATTTATTTTGCTTCTATTTGGTGTATAAAAAAATTTACAATGATGGGACCCAAATATCTGCTGATTAAGATTTATCATAAGATATTCCTGCTCCTTTCCTGCTCTTTCCCTGATGATAATTGCATGACAGGACCTAGCATTTTTCTTGCTAACAGCCTTTCCTGAAAAGACCATCTGACGATCTCATACTATAAGCTCTTAGGAAAGCTGCCATTTGGCCACCTTCACAAACAAAACAAAACAAACTAGGTGAAGAAATTGTAGGTTCATTTTTTATGCAATAAAAATCAGTGGGTATTTTCTCCCGGAGTCATATGCTCCTTGGAGTTCTCAGGAGACATGCTGTGAAATCACCAAAGGCAAATGATGTTCCCAGTTAGGCTAAACTGAACCTGGAAAAAGGAAGTCAGAAGCAAGGCTGTCTCTGAGGTGAGGAAAGGACTACATAAGCTCAAGGGAACAGAACATGCGTGGCTCCCAGATCCTTTTTTTAAAAATGTGACCGTGGGAAATAGATATACTTTATGTGAATAAGCAAGTGAATCAATATGTTTTCTTCATGATTCTGGGGCACTATTCTTCCCTTACATGCCGAGAGAGAGTGTCTGCTTTACAGGTTGAGCCCTGCCGCCTGGCAGCCTCCCTCACTGCCACTTCCTGGGTGGCCAGGGGTGTTTTTGTGCAGGAGGCAGCTGAGCAGGCAGGGCTGTGATAAGCTGCTGGCACAGAGGTACAAGGCAGAGTCGGCCACTTCCACGGAGCTCACGCTCAGCTCAGAGCGGAAGTCCTTATTGAACTGTTGGACTGAGAAGTGTTTAGGGATGTCTCCTTTTTCTCTCATTTTGCCACTGAAATATTGAATGAGGAAACGAGGGCCCTTGCCCACAGCCTGTTGGTACCAGTACACAGACTCATGTCCAGATTCATAGGAGCATCTCAGGGTCACTGGCTGACTCTTTGCTTTGACCAGGTGTCTGGGGCTTTGAGTGACTTCAGCATCCACAGGGCCTGTTGGGGAGCAGAGAGAAAGGGCTGAGGCAGATACAGGGGCAACTCCTGCTGCAGCCCTCATGGTTGTCAGGGAGTTCCCAGGCCTGGCAAAGCACAACCCAGCCGCCCCTTCCCACACCCCTCCCCCACCCCCATGCCCAGAACTCACCTGCTCCCAGGAGCCCAAGGGCCACCCAGCAGAGGAGCCTGGAGCCCATGGCAGCCTCAGGGCCCACACAGCCCCTAGGGCAGTGCAGCCTCCAAACTCTGTCCTCCTGGCGCTGATAGGAGCCTCTGCTATGATGTCACTGTATGATGTCACTGTGTGATGCTTCCCTGCCTGCAGGCTGTGCCCTGGACCACCTGAAACGTGTCAATAAGACTCTGGGTACCATTTCCTCAATTGTATGGCCCCTTAACAAAGGATGCACATGAACCTGGAGGATCCCATGTGTCCTTCCCTGACCCCGACTCACTCTGGCTGCCCCAGGTTCCTTCCACCTCTTTCTGTGAAGCCTTGCAGAGGTGCCTTTTGGGGTCCACTGTGACTCCTGGCAGAGATGGTTGGAATAGTTTCTGTCTATACCAGGATCACCCTGAAGTCAAACCACCAGCCTCCTCCCCATCAAGACCTCCATTCCCCAGGCAGGTCTCCCTTTGCCAGGTGCCTTGCAGTTAGTGGGTGTACAGCGCCTCCAAGCGGCCAACTGTCCAGTGTCCTGGATTTCTCTTCCCAATGAAAGGCACACCTCTCTGAGTTCACTCAGGCAATGTCCAAGATCATTTTTCTCACACCCACTCTACTGCTGTCCCAGAAGCTTGATCGTATAATATACCCTTCGTATCTGGCATCAGAGACATGGGAACATCATTCTCATGTCAGGAATTATTGCTTGCAACATTGCAATTTCTGTATTGGAGGGAATGTGACAAACATCAGGATCCAGGTCACAAAAATAAAATGTGAATATGTCGATGGGCAAGGAATAGTCCACGAGCGCTTTTAAGGATGATCATTAAAAATGACACAAAAAGGGAGGACACAGTGACAAACGTTTGCCAAAGAAAGATGCAAAATTGTCCCCACAAGCATTGTCCTTGCAATGTATCCTGCTTGTCCATGAACGGGTGGCCATGTATGCTCAGGACGGTTCCAGGGGACAGAAGAACACATAGCAGAGTCCTGGGTCCCAGCAAGGGCTGATCAGACACAAGCTCTTCCTCTGTTCCACTGTGTCCTGGGAAAGCTATTCTCTGCCTCTGACCACACTAGGACAGCTGGCCACAGGACTTGGGGAAAAGTTTTGAAGGTGGCTTCTCACCTGTGGAAACATCTCACAGCAGAGTTAGAGGCAGACGGCGCAGGGTTCGATTTAACCTCTGTGCCCTCATAGCTACTTGCTTTGTTTTTGCTGATTCATAATGAAAAATTTCCCCAGTTTATTTATTTCCAATTTGGTGCACCACCCAGCAGTGCTGAGGGCTTACTCCTGTCTCTGTGCTCAGAAGTAACTCTTACATGGAGAGTATCATGCTAAGTGAAATGAGTCAGAGAGAGAGAGAGAGAGAGAGGAATAGATTTAGAATGACTGCACTCATAAAGTAGCATAATGGGAGACTAATACCTAAGGATAACAGAGATAAGGGCCAGGAAGATTGCTCCACGGCTTGGAAGCCGGCCTCGCATGCTGGGGGAAAAGCAGCTGAGATAGAGAAGGGACCACCAAGTAAAGGATGCTTGGAGGGCTCACTCAGGATGGGAGATGTGTGCTGAAAGTAGACTATGGACCAAACACGACTGCTACATAGTACCTGTATTTCGACCATAACACCAAAAGAAGAGAGAGAGGGAAAGGGAATGTGCCTGCCACAGAGGGGTGGGGGGTTCAGGGGGGACAGATAGTGGGAACATTGGTGGTGGGGAATGGTCACTGGATGAAGGGTGGGTACTAGATCACTGTGTGATTGAAATGTAAGCACGAAAGTTTGTAAATCTGTAAATGCATCTCTCAATGATTCATTAAATAATTAATTAATTAATTAATTTAAAAAGTAAAGAAAGAAATCATTCTTGTGATTGCTTAGGGAACAACATTATGGTGAGGAGGATCAAACTCCATTGGTCGCTTGTACCATTGTTGCAGTTTCCAATTCTTTCCATTAAAAATTCAACTATTAAGCACATCAATTCAGGGTATTATGTGATCGTTTAGACATAAAAAATAGTTTATACTTGCCATAACTGTCCATTAAAAATAGAATTTTTTCCCTAAGGTTTAACTGCATGGAGAAAATTAAGCATGCATGTGCATTAATGTGTCAGCATTATTTCTTTATATTTTACCTACACGCTGACAGAACTGACTGAATATTTGGGTGAAAATAAATTTGAATTTTGAGAATTTGAAAATCTCTAAAGCAAGAAACACATTCATTTCATGCCTATTTGGTGTATATAAAAATTTACAATGATGGGTGGCTAGAGCAATAACACAGCGGGGAGGGCATTTGCCTTGCACACGGCCGACCGGGGTTCGATTCCCAGCATCCCATATGGTCCCCTGAGCACCGCCAGGGGTGATTCCTGAGTGCAGAGCCAGGAGTAACCCCTGTGCACTGCCAGGTGTGACCCAAAAAGCAAAACAAAAAAACCCCAAAAATTTACAATGATGGGACCCAAATATCTGCTGATTAAGATTAATACATAAGGTATTTTTGATCCTTTCCTGCTCTTTCCCTGTTGCTAATTGCATGTACAGGACCAAGCATTTTTCTTCCTAACAGTCTTTCCTGAAAAGACCATCTGACGATCTCATACTACAAGCCTTTAGGAAAGCTGCCATTTGGCCAACTTCTCAAAAAAATTAAAAAAAAAATACATGAAGAAGTTGCAGGTTCATTTTTGGCACAAAAAAATCAGTGGGTATTTTTGCCCTGAGTCGTACGTTCCTTGGAGTTCTCAGGAGAGATGTTATAAAATCACAAAAGGCAAATGATGTTCCCAGTTATGCTTAATCTGAACCTGGAAAGAGGAAGTCAGAGGTGGGGCTGCCTCTGGGGTGAGGAAGGGGGTACATCAGCTTGAGGAAACAGAATATGTGTGACTCCCAGATCCAGTTGTTGAAAATGTGGCCCTGGAAAATAGATATACTTTATGTGAATAAGTAAGTGAATGAATGTGTTACCATCATGATCCTGGGGCATTAAATCTTCCCTTACATGCTGAGAGAGCCTGTCTGTTTTGCAGGTTGAGCCCTGCCGCCTGGCAGCCTCCCTCACTGCCACTTCCTGGGCTGGCCAGGGGTGTTTTTGTGCAGAAGGCAGCTGAGCAGGCAGGGCTGTGATAAACTGCTGGCACAGAGGTACAGGGCAGAGTCGGCCACTTCCACGGAGCTCATACTCAGCTTAGAGCTGGAGTTCTTCATGAACTGTTGGACTGAAAAGTGAGCAGGGATATCTCCTTTGTCTTTCTCCTCCTCATAGAAATACTGAATGAGGAACTTGAGGCCGTGGTCCATGCCCTGTTGGTACCAGTACACAGACTCATGTCCGGATTCATAGTTGCATCTCAGGGTCACTGGCTGACTCCTTGCTTTGACCAGGTGTCTAGGGTTTTGAATGACCTCAGCATCCACAGGGCCTGTTGGGGAGCAGAGAGAAAGGGCTGAGGCAGACACAGTGGCACCTTCTGCTGCAGCCCTCATGGTGGGCAGGGTGTTCCCAGGCCTGGCAAAGCACAGCCCAGGCCCCTCCCTGTGCCCAGGACTCACCTGTACCCAGGAGACCAAGGGCCACCCAGCAGAGGAGCCTGGAGCCCATGGCAGTCTCAGGGCCCAGACAGCCCCTAGGGCAGGGCAGGCTCCAAGCTCTGTCCTCCTGGTGCTGATAGGAGCCTCTGCTGTGACGCCACTGTGTGATGTCACTGTGTGATGCTTCCCTGCCTGCAGGCTGTGCCCTGGACCACCTGAAGCGAGTCCTTAAGAATCTGGGTACAATTTCCTCAATTGTATGGCCCCTTAACAAAGGATGCAGATGAACCTGGAGGATCCCATGTGTCCTTCCCTGACCCTGACTCACTCTGGCTGCCCCAGGTCCCTCCCACCTCTTTTTGAGAAGCCTCAGGGAGGTGCCTCTTGGGGTCAACTGTGACTCCAGATACCTCTGCACTCCTGGGCAGAGGTGGTTGGAATAGATTTTGTCTATACTAGCATCACTGTGAAGTCAAATCATCTGCCTCCTCCCCATCAAGACCTCCATTCCCCAGGCCGGTCTCCCTCCTGCCAGGTGTTTTGCAGTTAGTGGCGTATGGAGCCTCCAAGTGGCCAACCGTCCAGTGTCCTGGATTTCTATCTTCCCAATGAAGGGCATACCTCCTCTCTGCGCCCAGTCAGGCAATGCCCAAGATCCTTTCTCTCACACCCCATTCTACTGCTGTCCCAGATGCTTGATCGTATAATATACCCTTTCTGTCTGGCATCAGAGACATAGGAAGCATCATTCTGATGTCAGGAATTATTGGTTGCACCATTGCCATTCCTATATTAGAGGGAATGAGACATGCATCAGGATCCAAGTCACGCAAATAATGTTTGAGTATCTCAATGGGCAAGGAAAAGTCCACGGGCTCTTTTATGTATGATCATTAAAAAAAGACACAGAAAAGGACACAGAAACAAGCATTCCCCAAAGGAAGATGCGGAACTGTCCCTACAAACATTGTCCTTGCAGTGGAACCTGCATGTCCATGAGCGGGTTGCCATGTATGCTCAAGACAGTACCTGGGGACACAAGAACACTCAACAGGGACCTGGGTCCCAGCAAGGGCCGGTCAGACACAAGCTCTTCTTCTGTTCCACTGTCTCCCAGGTAAGCTGTTCCCTGCCTGTGACAGCATTGGGACAGCTGGTACAGGACCCAGGGACAAGGTCTGGTTTCAAGGTGGGTTCTCACCAGTGAAAACGTGTGACAGCAGAGATAGAGGTACATGGAGCAGGGTTTGATTCCACCTCTGTGCCCTCATAGCTATTTGCTTTGTTTATGTTGATCCATAAGGACAAATTCCCCCAGTTTATTTATATCTAG